AAAACAAGGTTTACTTTTACTGCATTTTTTAATGTAAATTTTGTCAAATTAGATTAAATCTGATGTGAGAAAGATTTATAAGTCATCACACTAACTAAATATAAAATATATACATCTAAATAAAAAGCATCTAAAAAATCATTGGCATTACATATATCTCATGAAATAAAACATCACGTTTACTGTTTGGGTTTCAAGAGTTAAGCATTTAATTACTTTAAAATTTGCAGATAGCTCCATCCAATGTAAATTACAAAAATTAATACTGGCATCAATAATCTCATAATGCAAAAATCAAACCAGATACATCACCTCCAATTACTATTTTGTTTAGCTTCCAAAATCATGACAAGCAGCAAATAATGAAACTTTAAAACTGAATACTATCTCAGGATGGTTTTTGGCTGTAAGACTGTTAAACATGTAGCCTGATACGAACACTATCTCAGGATGGTTTTTGGCTGTAAGAGTGTTAAACATGAAGCCTGATATGAACACTATCTCAGGATGGTTTCTGGCTGTAAGACTGTTAAACATGTAGCCTGATACGAACACTATCTCAGGATAGTTTTTGGCTGTAAGACTGTTAAACATGTAGCCTGATACGAACACTATCGCAGGATGGTTTTTGGCTGTAATCACCACATTTTCTGTATTGATATGTTTGTTTGTTTTGAACATAAGCACAAAGCTACACATAGGGCTATCTGTGCTCTGCCCGCCACGGGTATTGAAACCCGGTTTATAGCATTGTAAGTCTGCAGACGTACCTCTGTGCCATTGGAGGGGGCTTCTGTAGTTAACAAAATAAAGAGTAAATTGCTATGATTTATACCTACTATGATTTCTATCTACCATTTATTTTGTGGGTACATGTGCAGTGGTACATTTATATGTCAGAAAATTGGGTAATAAGTACCTTGGATAACACGATAAGCACTAAACATAATGAACATCTAGTCAGAGTTGAAAGACAATGAACTACATTCTGGGCTAGTTATCTTTAATAGTATGACTATATAACCCACAGCAAATAACCTAGTGTCAAACCCTTGATACTTTTATAAAACAATATTGGAGAAGGCAGGAAACAATCATCAATACACTTTTAAGTTTTCAAAATTAATTTATGTAAAGGAAAATAAAATGTGGCTGAGTAGGCTTAATACAAACATTTTACCTTTAGAAGTGCAACGTGAAACTCAAAATTTCAAATACAGATCAACAATTTCACTGTTAGATTATGGCAAATGTATAATGCTACAGGTAGAAACTGAAGAAGATCCAGTAGAAACCTAACAGAAATGGGATGACTCCAAATAACTCCAAAACATCATCTATAAAGGAAGATGTTTGTGAAGAAATCTTGAGGAATATGAACTCAAAAATAAAACTTTCTAGATACAGTAATTTTTCAATTCTATGTGCTTTGGTTGCAAACTGATCTTTAGACCTCCCTTGGCCAAAAGTTCATGGTTCAAGTATGCTGGAAAGACTCCTGAATCCATGGAAGTCAGGAGTGTTACAAAGGTCTTAAGCACCAAAGTATATCATGGTTCACAGAGAGAACAGAGAACAGTCCAATATAAAATTGAGTAAACAACCTCTACAAAACTTGGTACAGTGTTAACTACCTTAGAACCATGCTACACCTCCCTTAACAAAACTTGGTACAATGTTAACTACCTTAGAACTATGCTACACCTCCCTTAACAAAACTTGGTACAATGTTAACTACCTTAGAACTATGCTACACCTCCCTTAACAAAACTTGGTACAATGTTAACTACCTTAGAACTATGCTACACCTCCCTTAACAAAACTTGGTACAATGTTAACTACCTTAGAACTATGCTACACCTCCCTTAACAAAACTTGGTACAATGTTAACTACCTTAGAACCATGCTACACCTCCCTTAACAAAACTTAATACAATGCTAACTAGAATAGGACATGCTACACCTCCCTTACCACAGCTTGGTACAATGTTAACTACCTTAGAACTATGCTACACCTCCCTTAACAAAACTTGGTACAATGTTAACTACCTTAGAACCATGTGACACTCTCCTTACCAAAAGTTCAGGTTCTTGCAACAAAAGCATCCACAAGTTAATAACTAAACATAAAAAAAACAACTAAAATGGTATTTAAAAAATATACAATAAAATGATGTTTTGCCACCTGGTGGTGCCCAAAATGCCATTTTAGCTGTTTTTTTATTTTTAATTTCAAAAGTGTGTGGGATAAATCAAGTATTTATATTAAAAGTTAATAACTCTTTAGCTAAATTTTTTTAAATGTCAAAAATAAACTGCGTACATAATTAACTAAGTGCATAAGAAAGCAATGTTTTCGAGTGCAAAATGTAGTGTTGGTCATCGTATGATACCAAAAATATCAATATATAACGTCAGAAATATTGATAGTTTTCGCTTTCCACAATATACAGTATTAAAAAACTTCAATACTGTCTACAATAAAAAATCCAAGTGTGTGTGTGTGAACATTTTAAAGATTTCTCAAAAAATTATTATCATACCCTCATTTTTTTATCCTGAAAAATGTATTTATCATTAGAACCTTATGTTCTTTAAAATAACTATTTCAAAATTATGTTTCAAAAATGCTTTGTAGTTTGAAATTCAACTTTAATGAACAGACAAGATACGGACTCTATTTCTTAATACTCTTCTATAGCTGCCAACTCACTCTTACCAAATTTCAATAAAATGAATACAAATTCACCAACCACTTAAAGATATGAAAATATTCTCCAAAATATCAAAAAACAATGTCATCAAGACTAGAAAAGTGATAAAAATATCACGTTTACCATCAAGTGTTGATAATTGTGCATGAACGTATATTGAAGGAACAAGTAACCAGTGTGGCCTACGTTGAATAGCAGCAGCCAAGGGGCAAAACAAAATATGCTTGATAACTTTATTTTATACCATGGTTAAAAAGCTCTAATAAATGAATGAAACATCATTTTAAGAAAACGAACAGCAATTTATTGTTCTTAAAGTATAAACAGCAATCCAAAATATTTGTCATGTCAGAAGCAGTGGTATTATCATGTAGTTGTAAGTAACTTATCAAGGGCTTGATCATTTGTCAATCTAACATGGTTAAACTACAAGAAAAAAGTTAGGGGAAAATATAGTTTTCACCTCCTGTAACCATGGTGAGCTCTTATGTGTTAAGTCCCTATACTAGTGCTATTTAAGAGCATCAATCACGTAACATTTTACTGTTTCATATAGGCACTACATAGAAACAATAAGTGTTTAGTGTTGTCGCTAAATGGATTGTGACAAAGACAGCGGTAATTGTCACGGATTTAATGGGCTTCATGTAGAGGGCTGTGAAGCTATTCTTTGAAGACACGGTACCTACTTATATATTTAGATAGATTTTAAAAATTTGAATGAATGTAGTAAAACAAATAATATGTGCAGTTTTTTAAGAAAATAATTGCTGTACACTTTAAGATAATCTCCCTTTGACCTCGTGTAAACGATTCTATTTTGACCTCAAATTAGCTACAGGTGAAACCAAATCTTTTACAATTCATTCTTCTTTACTGTTAGTAGAAGAAAAATATGATACATTTCTTTAAGCCTTAATGATCACCATGACTATTCAAAATGTAAGGTGATGCATGTAGGTCTTCACAATTCAAATGATTGTTACAATTTAAATGGGAATACATTAAGTACTATGGTTGAAGAAAAGGATCTTGGTGTTGTGGTCGAAAAATCACTTAAGTCATCTAAACAGTGTATTGTAGCTAGCAAGAGGGCTAATAGGATTTTGGGTAGCATCTATAGAAATATTGAATACAAGACAAGCGATATTATTGTTTCACTGTATAGATCACTTGTAAGGCCTTGTTTAGAGTACTGTGTACAGTTTTGGGCTCCCTTCCTCAAGAAGGACATTGAATTGTTGAAGAAGAGCCACTAGGATTATATCTGGGATGGTGGGATTGTTCTATGAGGAGAGACTAAAATCTCTAAACTTATTTTCTCTGGAGAGGAGAAGAGTCAGAGGGGATTTGATTATCAAACTTTTTGTGTTTAGCAGTGAAAACAATAGGTGTCATACATTTAAATTTTGGCAGCGTAGGAGTCATCTGCAGCTTAGACAGTATTACTTTTCAAACAGGGTGGTTGGGTTTTGGAATGAGCTGCCTTCAAGGGTGGTGGAGGCAGAAAACTTAACAGAGTTAAAGAAACAATTGGATGAATACACGAGTAGTAGTAAGGGGTGGTTACAGTTGGGAGATGGAAGGGACATCCTTGATGGGCTAATAAGTTCCTTTTTGTCTCTTTAAAATTTATGAAAAAATAATAATAACATTAAAATATTGTTAAGTCAAACAAATGAAAAATTGAACATTGGCTTTGACTATTAATTAAAATTTAACACCATACATAAATGTACAAGTAGCATTATTGTGTGTTAAATTATTTTTTCATGTATAAATTAGATCATACTGTAATGAGCATGTCATTCTATTGCTTCTTTAGTATTTATCTTAGCAATATGAGCATGGTTGGATATGACCTCTCTTTAAAACGGCCTTTTTTGTTTTAAGCATAATGTATGTATATTAGAACTGAAAGGAATATCTAAATAAGAGCACCTTTCAACAAATATTCAAACTAAAATTTTTATTATTTTTTTGATGTTTTATATTTTTAATGGTTTTCTTCATGTTGTAAATTTGGTTCTTAAATGCTAAGGCACAAGCAAATTTCAACAATTACAATAAAAACTATGAATAAATATCTTAAATGTGTGTTTATCCATCATTATAACATTAAATGACACATTAATATAGATAAAATCTGATATATTCATTGTCTATTACTGAATATTGTAATACAATTCACATACATCTCTCTCTCTCTCTCTCTCTATATATATATATATATATATATGAACTAGCTTAAAGTTAAATATTCTCTGATTTATTAAAATTAAATACCTGTTTTAGTAGAATTTGGTCAACAGTTATAGCCCATGATGACAAATCTTTGTTTTCTGGTTTGCGTGGGATGTTTTGAAGGTTGGTTTTCTTTCCATTTGTTTACAAATTACTGTAAAAAATTGAATAACATTCATTAATAAAGTATATATATTCATAAGGTATACAATACATAAGCTACTTTATTCTGTAGATTCAGAAATTTATTTAGATTCTACTAATATACCAGTTGTTTCAAAAGTCATTTCATCTGTTCAGACTACTGCATTTACAAAACTGATAGCCACACTGTAGTGACAGATTTTAGGGGGGGGGGGGGGGGGGGGGAATAGGGACCCCCCCTCTTTCTTTTAAAAATCTATGTAAGTGTAAGCAAGGGAGAATCAAAGACTAGCTCACGACCAGTATTACTGACTGGTAGTTTTACTGTCTTACGATAGCCATTATGAGTTAACAAATTTTGGACCCCTTTATATGGATATAAAAGCCATCAACCACTGTCTTCTGAATAGTCAAATTGGCCTAAACCTAGAGTTTCACAAAAATCTGCCCATCGGCTTCTTAAACACAGTCATCTGAGCAACATTTAAACCAATCCTCATTGTTCAGGAAATCATATAAAGTACTGGTCTCCACTCCTGCCAACAGTAACTCATTAAACAAGTCAACCACTCTGTTAGAAATATGAAACCGTCTTAACTGGGGCTTATTAGCCTGCCTTTTCCAAATCTTAAAAGTGTGTTCTCTTGTACTATTATCTTCAAAATATAGCATAAAGATCATCTCTTGTCCTTACTTTCTCAAGAGGAAATAAGATCTTAATAAATCCCTGCAAGATTTCTCTTCCATTCTTGGAATTATCCTTTCTGAGCCCTTTCCAAAAAGTCAATATCCTTAGTTAAGGCGACTAAAACTGTACCTTATACATTATATATATGTATATAGATTATTGCTATTTTGAAATAAGTTCTTGAACTTATTTTTCTTAAAACATAGAACAGTAAACACAGAAGTAAAGCAAAGAATTATCTCTTCTAGTTGTAAGTTAATGCAACAAACTCTTGGGTACTTCTAATTGTAAGTTAATGCACATCGTAAATATAAATGGGAACCCACCCAATAGTATGACTGAAGAAAAGGATCTTGGCATAGTGGTGGATAAAGTCATTCAAGCCATTGAAGTAGTTTTCTGTTGTTAGTTGTAAAACTAATAGCATTTTAGGGTGTATTTATAGACATATTGATTACAAGTCAATAGGCAATTATTGCTATGCAAATCAGTCATTAGACTTTATTTGAAATAGTCTAATTGAAATTTGACTGTATTTTACAAAATACTAGTCTACTAAAACACAGCCAAGACAGGTCACTTTGTAAAGATTAAAGGTCAGTTTTATATTATTGGATACAGTAACACGAGAGCATGTATGCCATGTCATTGTAAATTCTGTCTTGTCAGGCAGGCAATAAATACAATAAAAATAATAAATATATATATAAACGTATAATGTTATGAGATTTAAACTATTAAGTCTAAACATTTATGTTTTCGTGTTATTATTTGTTGTCATTCTAGAATGAAAGAGACATAAATTATATTTGTTTCCTAATTTTTTTATGGTGGTTACAAGATTAATCAAATCAACTGAACCTGTACAGATTCGTTTGTGAAAATAACAGATAAAATAAACTTTTTTTTTTCTTAAGAAACATTTGATAACTATTTGGACATTATCAATATTTTGCATGTGAAATTTGAAGATTTTCTGATGCATAAAAGTATTTTTAATCTTAAAATAAAAATTACTTTGCATATTGGATATGCAACATGCAAAAAGAAAAAAAAGGCATGATAAAAAATATCGCTTAACAAACCTTAAGATATAATAAATAAATAAAAATTGATATTTTGTGGATAAAAGCATTGTAATGCTTTACTGATAATCTGCCAAATTTTGTTAACATATGCTTACTATTAAAATTATAGCATGAAAACTATAACAAGCACAAAGTGGTTACGAGGTCGATCCTAGGGTGATGGATCACTTCTCTTAACTCTTTCTGCACGGGCTTGGTTCGGGCTCAAAGCCCTCAGTAAATGACAAGGTTTGAGACATACTTGATGAGAATGAGCTTAAAATAGCAGGTCAGATGTGTAGAAGCAAAGAATCCTGAAATCATGACCAACTGATCCATAAGGAGGAGGAAGAAATAGTAATATGCTTGATGAACTATGAGAAGTTCAAATATGTTGATGTGGAGTGTGACAGAATGAATCCTCCCTAGAAAGGGTAGGGAGAAGCCAATCATCCAATCTGTGAAGATGGCAGACAAATGTTCTCATCACTCAAATGAAGACATAAGGAGCGGGTGCAATGTCAAAAAGAAGAGCATGGAACTGGAAGAATTGTTTCC